AAAAAAAAAAAAAAAACAATAGAGTAAGGAAAAGTGAAGTATAAACTAATGCAAAGCTAAGTGGCTATAGCCATTTGTCCCAGTGGGCAGCGGGGAACCAACTCCACCGGGGCCGTCATTGTCACGACCCGATCCCAGAGGCTTAGGACTTGAATCGTAACTTATTAATTAATTTTAATTTTAACAAATTAAATGGCACATGAGGAGGAAGAATGTAAGTAAGAAAATAATTAAATAGAAAATTAACTTCATTAATCATTCTATTGTTTAGAAAATATAACTGTAGGGCCTCTATTATTTTATTATGTGGTGACAGAATTTTAGAAAGAAAAAGAAAAAGAAAAGAAAAACAAAATGTAACAGGTCGGCATCAAATTCCGTGTGGGTCTCACTATACGAGGTTACAGTTCTTCTTTACATCTCATCACCTGAAAGGGATAACAACTATAAGTGCACAGCAGAGTGAGAAATATTATGCCAAGAGTAAAGGGGACACGTAATAACCATGGATAGTGATTTAAACTAAAACATTAACACAACTTAGTTTGAATAACCGATTATTTAAGTGGCAGAAGCTGAAATACAGAAATTATGTAAATAAATAACCATAATCACGGTACAGAACAGAACATAACAGAGGTCACTGGAGTGACAGTCAGAACAGAGATCAATGGATCCATACAAACAGAGAGTCACAAGGTGACCAAACAGAGACCAATGGTTATTTAAGTCCCCCAAGGCATGGGACTCTCGTAGTGGTACTTACAAAAAATAATTGTTTATAAAATCATTATCAAATAATTTCTAAAATTTAAACAAACATATCCATGGGTTTCAATTTAAGCAAATAGAGTTTAGAAAATAATCAACGTAATTGAAATATTAATACAATTTATAAAATACAATTTACGTAAAATAAATTATGGTAACTCAAAACATACGTAAAATATATTATGGTAACTCAAGATATAATATAACTCATCTAAAGATTGTTTCCTCATATTTCCTTACTATTTTTGTCGGCTACTCGACACTGTTCTCTTGCTCCTTTTTTTTTTTTTTATTGCTCCTTTTTTTTTTTTTTTTTCCTTACTGACCTCACATCCCCCTCTTATATATACATGACCTGGGTGATGAATCACCCTGTAATGATGCCTCCAAATTGATGACTCACCCCCCTAAGTGCTAGACAACACAAATGGCTCGGCTTTCATTCCGCAAGCAATTTGCACAATTAATTGTTGTAACTTGGCCCTTAAGTAAATTATATACATCTTATTTTTGATAAACCAAAGCTAAATTAAATTACATTTTTAGCACGTATAGCTGTGAAATGAGATATATTATTATTATTATTGTTATTATTATTATTATTATTATTATTATTATTTGGTAGTAACGTGGTGTTAATTAAATATTTAGGGTGTCACATTTCTCCCATCCTAAATAGAAATTTGTCCTCAAACTTGACGTACCTTGATTTTTGAAGAGGTGTGGGTATTTGGTCCGCATTTGACTTTCAGTTTCCCATGTTGCTCCTTCGACACGATGATTCCTCCACAAGATTTTTACAAGAGGTATAGTCTTGTTTCGGAGAACTTGATCATGACGATTGAGAATCTGCACTGGTTGTTCTTCATAAGAGAGATCTTCTTGAAATTCCAGGTCCCCATAATCAACAACATGCTCTGGATCTCGGAGATACCGTCGAAGTATTGAAACGTGAAACACATTGTGGATATTAGACAGTTCAGGGGGCAGTGAAAGGCGATAGGCCACCGGACCAATCCTTTCTAGTATCTTGAATGGCCCGATGTAACGTGGGTTTAACTTTCCTCGCTTGCCAACTCGGATAACCCCTCTTGTTAGCGAGATCTTTAGAAACACATGATCTCCTATTTGAAATTCTAAGTCCATCTCTGTAAATTTGCATAGCTTTTCTGGCGGCTCTGAGCAATACGAATTCGCTATTGGACGAGTTGAATTTTATCACTCGTTATTTGTACGATTTTAGAGCCGAATAACTTCCTGTCTCCAACTTTTGCCCAACACAGGGGTGATCGACACCTCCTTCCATATAGTTCTTCATATGGTGCCATTCCAATACTTGCTTGGTAACTATTGTTATAGGCAAATTCCACTAACGGTAGGTGCTCATCCCAAGTACCTTTGAGGTCTAGCACGCAGACACGTAACATATCTTCCAAAGTCTGGATTGTTCTTTCCAACTGTCTATCAGTTTGCAGGTGATAAGCCGTGCTAAACTTTAGTGTTGTTCCCAAAGCCTCTCGCAATTTGTTCCAGAAGTAAGACACAAATCGAGGGTCTCGGTTAGACACGATTGAAACTGGGGTACCATGCAACCGAATTATTTCCTTGATGTACAAAGTGGCAAACTTATTAAGGGAGTACGTGATTTTGATTGGTAGAAAATGCGCTAACTTCATTAATCGGTCTACTATGATCCATATTGCATCATTCTTCGAGATTGACTGTGGCAGCCCGACCACGAAGTCCACAGTAATGTGTTCTCATTTCCACTCAGGTATAGGGAGTGGTTTCAGCATTCTTGTAAGTCTCTGATGTTCTGCTTTAACCTATTGACAATGCAAGCATTTGGAGACGTGGCTTGCTATGTCTCTTTTCATTCCTATCCGCCAATAGTGTTCCTTCAGATCATGGTACATCTTTGTATTGCCAAGATGGACTACAAGCCTCAATCTATGAGCTTCCACCAATATCTTCTTCTTGAGTTCAGGAATGTCAGGTACGCAAATTTGATTGTGAAATTTTAGTATCCCAATGCTTATAGTGAAGTCAGGGTTGGGCTTACTTCTTTGCTCCTCGTATTTTTTCTTCAAAAGCCTATCTTCACATTGGCGTGTTCTAATTTCTTCAATGAAGGTGGGTTCCACGATTATATTGGCGAGCAATCCATTATCTGGCGGGAAACGAGGGTACATGCCAAACTTCTGGTTGTCTTTCAGCTCAGTGCCTTTGCTACCACGTTAGCTTTGCCTGAATGGTGATGGATCTCTACATCATAGTCCTTCATAAATTGTAGCCATCGTTGTTGCCTCATATTCAGTTCTTTTTGTGTGAGCAGATATTTAAGACTCTTGTGATCAGTGTAAATTTTGCAAGTTGAACCGTAGAGATAATGACGCTAGATCTTACGGGCGAAGATCATCGCAGCCAATTCTAGATCATGGTTTGGATAATTTCTCTCGTGAGTCTTTAGTTGGCATGAGGCATAAGCAATGACTTTTCTGTTTTGCATAAGAACGCAAGCCAAACAATTATATTAGGCATCATTATAAATTACGAACCTATCTGTTCCCACCGGGAGTGCTAGTATAGGAGCTACCACCAATCTGCTTTTTAATTCTTAGAAGCGACGTTCCTGTTTATTAGTCCATTCAAAAAGTGTGTTCTTTTGAGTTAGCTGAGTTAAGGTATGATCGAGGAAGTGTACACTAGTGATCCAGGATTCACATTTCTTGAACTTGGCATACAGTTTGTGATCATGTAGTGTTTGCAAGATTGTTCGCAAGTGCTACTCATGGTCCTCCGGTGACATGGAGTATATGAGAATGTCATCAATGAAGACGATGACGAACTCATCAAGATAGGGTTTGAACACTCGGTTCATGAGGTCCATAAAGGCTGTTAGAGCATTTGTGACTCCAAATGGAATAACGAGAAACTCATAATGCCCATAACGCATTCTAAAGGCAGCTTTTTTGATGCTTTTCGTTTTGACTTTTAGTTTATGATAGCCAGAACGCAAGTCGATTTTTAAGAATACTTGGACACCTTGTAGTTGATCGAATAAGTCATTGATTCGTGACAGAGGGTACCGGTTCTTGATGGTGACTTTGTTTAGCTCCCGGTAATCAATGCATAGCCTCATTATGCCATTCATTTTCTTTACGAATAGTACTGGAGCTCTCAATGGTGAGGAACTAGGTCGAATGAAACTTTTGTCTAGTAGTTCCTGAAGTTGGGTGTAGACTTGACTTTCTTCGCGCCCCCTTCTCGAAGAGCTCGAATTGGTCCTACAGTTCGGACTCCTCTCACGGTTCTGAATCTAATCTCACAAAGTGCAATGTGAAACTGATAAGCACCAAAGAGTCCAATCCGGCAAATCATTTTGGAAAATCAAATTTTGAATCAAATAATGCCAAAACTAGACTGCTTTGCTAGATTATAGAGTCGCCACCTAAATATTTTATTTTTGAAAAATTTAGGAAACCCTAACTCGTGCCAAAGGCCACATGTCCGTCATCACCAAAGTTGTCTCAGCTCGGGAACTTGGGTATGAGAGGGGTAGGTCCTGAAATGAGCACCCCCGCTCGCCCAATCAAAGATCGGTCTTTACTAATCATGATATGATGTTTTATAAACACATGTGTTCTTATTCCGATTATTAGCTAACTTTACTATGTGACGCACACAAGCAAGTATAGACAAAAATTGCGAGAATTGGAACAAAATAACTCATGTTTGCTTTCGAAAATGGTTTGAATTTGCCACCCTCAAAATGTGAATTTGCCATCAAACATGATGGGCTTGAAATATGATTTGCCACTTCGCAAAGTGGGCTTAAAACATACATTCATTAAACTGTTCCAATTCAAGCAACAAAGCTTTCACCCACAGGCATTCATGCAGTTAATCATTTAAGCAAATAGCTTCATGGCAAGCATGCGAAACATGGCATTTATGGCAATTACACTCATGTAATATGCTAAAGTGTAAAAGCTTACTGAGTACTCCAAGCCAAAACAAAAGCTAGTTAGAAAAATGCATGATTCCTAACTATACAAGATGCCTAATGCAACACATGCAATATGCAATTAATAGGCTCGGCTACTAATATGACATTTGCAACACTTTGATAGCATGCTTTGAAAACACATATTCAAAGAAGTGCATTGAAATAACGATGCCATTTGAATGATGCGTCGAGCCTCGGTGCATGCAAGACAAATGAATGATGCAAACATACAATCATAAGGTATGCTAATTAAAATATGTCCATAATCTAACCATCGAAAGCAGATAAATAAAAGGGAGAAAGAAGTGGGGTTGGAAGACATGCACACACACACGCACGCTTATTACAACATTGCGCCCTCTCCAAGGAGGGTCCGCATAAATAAGCTAAGCTAGATTAAGCTAAACTAATTATTACAAAACAAAACTAATTAACTATTCTAGCTAATTAATTATTACAACACAATTGAATAACTAGCTACACTATGCTAATTAAAATATTACAAAACGAACTGAATGATTAGCTACGCTAACTAACTAGTAAAGCAATTTAAATGGCCTCAAGGGACGAGGGATGCATGCATGCTCAGTTGCTTCCTCTCGAAAATGCTCTTGCCTTGCCACCGGCTACCTCTGTTTGCACTCATTTGATCTTGGAAAGTTGCACCAACTTCCAGATTGCCTCTGCTCCAACACAGGAACACATTTGCACAAAAATTCACTGGTGGCCGGTCGGCCACAAAAAGTGGCTGTCGGCCACCTTAACTGGCCGGTCGGCTACTGCAAGTGGCCGGTCGGCCACCCCTATTTCTGGACTTCTGCTTTTGCTGCAACAGAGAGCAACAGAGAGCAACAAAGGCAAAACAAAGCATTTTCAAGGAATGTGTGTGCTGCTACACTCCTTATCATTTATCAAGCTCAAAAGAGTGTAGCTCTTGGCTCTCAAGCCATCAACCAAGCATTTTCAATGCATGATGGCTAGAAAACCAAGCTTGTACAAAGTCAATGAATACACAGATAAGACTCGAAGGACCACCACCCTATCACGCATGATCAAGGGTGTCGATAACTAAGAAAAGTGGCACGTTTCATCACTTTGAGTATGAAACGTCCCATTTTTCTTGTGTTTGAATTAATGTCCGATCCAAACAAATGCAATGCAACACAAACATGCTTATCTTGCTCAAGTTTTACTTGTCATGTTTTGTTTACACATTTTACATTACTGATTAGTCCTTTAACTGATTAAGTCCAAAGTGAGAGTCCGCTAATTGGAAAGAGGGCCTAAGCCACAAGTACCTTGAGCATGAAAGAGGCCTCATGATGTTGGTCAGTAGAAACCCTCAAGGGAGGATTAAAACCATTAGGCATGAAAGCCTCAATTCTACACTCAAGCCAGCAAGAGGCTCAATACCACTTTCAAAACAAAGTAAAAAATGAAGAATAGAGGGAGGTTGCAGACATTTCAGTGTTGATATGGCATGCAAAAAAACACTACATCATGCAAGCAACTCATGCAAGACATGCTCAAGAACCTAAAGCATCAAACTAATGAAGATCACAACACTATAAGTATGCAACACAAAGCTTAATTGACCAAACCAGCTCTAGACAGGGTTAAAACATGCCAAAACAGTGGCTAAAATATGCTGAGATTGAAGCATAAAAGGCTAGAAAAACATGCTCACGTGTTAGCTTGCAAACAAGACTCGAAACATAACTCTCAAAAGCAATGAAAGAGTGAAATAAGTGAGAGTGTGACAGAGCTATATACACTAAAATCATATGCAAAATGATGCTACACCATGCAAGCCACTCAAACACTTCATGCTAGAGACCTCAAAACAATGAGCTAGTGAAGACCATTACACTATAGCCATGCAATACAAGCCTCGAAGGACTTAACCAGCCCAATACAGAATTAAAGTAAGCCAAAATAGTAGCTAAAACAACCTGAAGTTAAGCTAACACAAGATACAAAAATAGGTTAAACCATTAGGCATGCTAGACTAGTAAGTATAATTGCACTACAAGTACAAAAAGAAAGCAACAAATGCTCCAACCAACCCAAAACAGAGTTGAAACATGTAAAAACAGAGCCTAAAACATGCTTGAACTAAGCTAACACAAGCTACAAA